TTTTTTAATGATCGAATCAGGCACGTAGCCAGAGCGACGATAGAAGGTGGGATGCAATATTCATCTATGCATGATTTGCCGTATTAAAAGACATATATTCTGTATGTCTTTAGGTTTGCGTTTCACAGTGCTGTTAGCTGCTGCCATGCAAGTGGTTGGAACGGTTTTACGTGTTTTACCTGCGGGCAAATGAAAATTTTGACACCTTTAATTTATTGCGGCCAGATAATCAGCTGTTTGGGTGGTCCGGTATATGGCAGCACCAACCGCTCTTATCGTCAACATGGTTTCCCCAGCACCAACGAACCACTGCCACTGCAATATCAACTGTCGCTGCATATATAGGATTCTCCCTGTCTTTTCTTATTGGACCTGCCTTTGTCGACGATGTGAAAGATTCGAATGCTGTAAAAATTGGTGATAATTACAGACTAAACACAACTGAAGAGAAAAAATACGAAAAGCAAATTAATACTTTACTATACTTCGAGGCTTCAGTACAGACAATTTTATTCTTTGTCATATTAGCATATTATCCATCCAAGCCACCAAAGCCTCCGAGTTTTCAGCGTCCACAGATCGTGTTGATTTTAAAGACGGTGCACGAAAACTGAGTAAGAACTTTAATTTCTTCTTCTTCCACAATATACGCAGCCAGTACAGGTGTATTTGGAGGCTGTGCCATTTTGTATCAGAATCTCTCGGAGTACGGTGTACAGGTGAATGAAAATTTTGCTGGACTGCTTGGGTTTATTGCTGTCACTAGTGGTGCTATCTCGGGTGTCCTATTTTCTACGTAAGTATATCTTACTATCTGGTCAACTGACGATGTTGTCATATTATTTATGGAGTTTCACAGGGTAACCAAAATAAACGTAACCCACACAAATAATTATGTATGCCTTAAGTGAAATCGGTGGAGGGTAATTTAGTTTTTGCATTTTGCCCACTAAATTATTTATAATGAATAATTTAGGTCGGCATTTGACAATGCCATCCCTCTTCAGGACGAACAAAACTTGTACACAAATTTTTGGAGTTTTCTTCCACAAACTTCAAGGCGAAATAGGTAGTGGGAGTGGAAGTTTTTGATCCGAAAAGTGAGCACGCTATCATCTGCTACCAATTTTTAGCTTGAAAGCTATAATTTGATTATAATGCGGTGTTTCTCTACATCAAGAATAAATGGCACTGGTAAATAAATGTTATTGCTTAATACGTTACGTTAGGGAAATGAAAGTCTGTTGTCTTTAAAATAAAACCATTGCAAAGCATGAATTTGGGCTTTAAACGCGTTTCACCTTATTTCCCTTTTGTTGTTTTTTTCAGATTTGCTGATCGTTTTTCTGGACATTTGAAGTTATTGCTTATCATCTTTATGGCGTGTTCTTTCTACTCTGTCCTGTTGATTTATTACGTTTTTACTGGAATTGTTAGATTTAATAAAGGTTTAGCTTATTTTATTTAGCCTCAGTGGATTTTTGTCAACGGAACAATACCATTGTTCTTTGAGTTGGGAGTTGAGTTGACATATCCGGTTGCAGAGGGTATTACTTCCGGTGCTATGACGTTCTTTAACAATTCGTGGCGTCGCTATTTCTTCTTCTTCCATTGGGAAATATTGGTAAAATGGATGCTGTGGGCTACAGGAACTTGTGCTGTATCGACTGTACTTCTACTTTTATAAAAGAGCGTTATAACAGATCATTTGTGGATGCGAATTCGACAAGAGAAAATGCTTTTATCTCAGCTTCAATATCCACGTGAACAAATTACTACAATGGAATGCAATAATCAAAACATTTTCATCAGTTTAACGGAAGGATTATCCAAACCAAACCCGAAGCTTACTTCAGTCCAAATCTATGGTTGGACAAAGACTTGAGGATTAAAGACGCATTAAATCCTTGATTGGTTAAATAAACAAGTATACGTTATTACTTAATATATAGCTAAATAATGTACTACTTGTTCTACAACTGTATAACTATATTGTCAGTGACTAGATTATACTTTTATACCTTTAATCCAATATTTTTGCTTTTCCCAAAATATTCGTTGCGTAGCTATAGCAGTATAAAAGACCAAACAGTCACAATCTTATAACGACTCTATATTATCCTGAAGATTTTGACTTACTTTGTCACGTTTAGAGAATATATGAAACTGAAATAGTATTAACTATAGTTCGCAAACATTACATTGTCTCATATTCTCACTTTGGTCTCTGGTCCAAATGAATGGTGTCCAAATTAAACGTTTAGGGTGCTGATTGACGTTTTTGACTGTTTCATCGGTTATATCTGTTAGACTGTTACTCACAGTCATATCATATCCAAAATTCATTACAACAGCCGACAAGGTCCTTTGAAAATTCATTGCAACAGCCAACATATATTATACTCTACACAACTGAGATTGCTTAAATTACGCTTAGATTGCTTAAATTACGCAGTTAAGTATTATAGATTATGTTTAACAATGTGCCCTCCTGGCTATCACTATAGGGCAAAGTGACACAGGATGTACAGTAATAAAGTAAATGGTTTGAACCTGGGAGTATCGTTATATGTTTGTAAATGATGATCGTCCAGGTCAAGCACAACATTGACTGGGACTCGGTAAATGCATCACTTACAGTACTGACTATAGACAACGGTTTATATTAGAAAGTTGGTATACCAACTTGGAACACACCCCTGAACAGATCACAGTATTACCGGCACCTTACAAACGACTTATTCAATACAAACAAACGATCAACTAAAACATTACACTTCAAACTAATTCACAATGACAATACAATTGACACCAACACACTACAACTAAAAAACGTCACAACCTAAATCCACACATCACAACTAAAAATAAAATATTTCACTTCACACTAATCCACAATGACAATACACATTTCCTGTACACACAATACAATGACGTAAGAACCAGACAACAAATACGGCTAACCTGACGTTTACTCCTCATTTGACTCTGAAGATGACTACCGCTAAGGTTGTCGAAACGTCAGTCAACAACATCAAAAACAGTCCTCTGGACTTTATTAACCTGGACGATCATCATTTACAAACATATAACAGGATGTACAGTTACAAAATGTATGGATTGTTGCAGAGTCACCAGAGTGCTCAAACCTACATGGTGAGTTTATAACATATTCATTATTGCAAAGAATCATATCTTGCAATATATGATTTTCTTAAGAAAGCTTTAAAAGGCCTTTGTAGTTCCATCTTGAAATGTCACTTTTATCTTTAAAAAATCCTTTTAATGATAATCTTTCTCACATTTATAAGACAAATGTAAGCATGTATTTAATTTTGTAAATAGTTACTGAAAAGCCCTCTATAAGGACTACCTATTGTTTGTCATTAAAGTCATGAAAGTCATATATATTTGTGGCTGATACGCTCACTTCATGTATAAAAAGAAACAAATAAATATTTGCTATAACCAGTAGAAACATCGGCAGCTGTAAACTCTAACCAGTGTACAGCTGCCAACTAGCAGTTAGTCATTTGCCATAGGCTTGTGAATTTTGTAAGGTCTCTTATATACCTTTGCAGTTTTGTAAATTGCCGGAAAACGCTGGATTAAGTTTTGAAATTATCAGAAAATAACGGATTATCGTGAAAAATTGTTGTTGTCTTGAAAAAGTGTTGAGCTATGAAGATTGTTCTGTCATTGAAGTGCATATTTATTTGTAAATTTATATACCTCTTTATTACAATAAGGATGAAAAATACAAAGTTACGAATTTTGGAAAGTTCACAAAGTTCAACAAATTTTAATGTCTAAGTGATTTTTATGAAGAGAAATGAGTGCTTACTAAATCCATGAACTTTTCACGATCTGGCAACACTGTTATTATGTTTTCAAGGTATTAATAATACGTCCGGTTCGATTCACTGATTTCACTGCAGCCAGTCAGATGTACTTTGATTTTAACTAGCTTCAATTTTTTATGTTGATAATCGTTTATATCTTTAAAAAAATTCATTTTGGTGTTTCTACCATTGCTTTTCTTTTTCTTTGTTTATTTCAGTCCAACCAACGTCCAACGTTACCGACCACTGTTGTCCACCAGTCCCTGGTCGTCTGCCTGACAATATATGTACTGGTCACCCGATGTTGTATTTTTGGTTTTTAAACAAACAAATATAAAAAAACAAAGAAATGATGCTGTTTTTAAGAAGCTCTGCTCAAAACGGTTCCACATAAACAAATTGAAGCATATAGCTAAAACCATTAGAAAGTCTGCATACACAAATAAAAACCAATGAGCGAGTAGTGAAAGTGTAGTTTTATTTGGTTTTATTTTTACAATGACTGTAAACCTTCTATTTTCAAATAGACTTAGATTTTATGTTTAGCCAGATCAGAGACAAGTTGGAACGTAAATTAAATATCTTTTATGCAGTCAATCGACCGCGTTTCCTACTTCTTTGTAAGATCGCGTCTTGCAGATAACATCAATTGGCCAAAAAATTGTGGACTTTCAGTTCACCGACCAAAACCAATTTAGACAGTTATCTGTTTTATATAGGTTAGTCTCTGTACCCAAATGAACTGTGTAAATTCTGTGCATGTTAGGTAATCTCTATTTTTATTTCGACATGCATATACAGGAGCGGATCCAGCTTCTGTGATATTAACTTAGGCACAATGTCGCAACTGTTGGGGCACGAGTTTCTAGAGGCGTCCAGGAGCATGTTCCCCGGGTGAAATTTTAAATTTAGATTGCAGAAACTCTATTTGCTGCGTTTTGCAGTTGGTTTTCTAAAATATTTATTTTCACTGAAATGAACTAACTGGTTAGGAATGACGATACATTAAATGTGTATTAAACCAAGTATAAGATATCTGATCATAGTACTAGTCACTATGATCTGCATGTACTACCAATGTATGCTAATTTTACACTTACTCACTTTTATCTTCTGTTCTTCCGACACTGGTAGTACATAGTACCGAGCACAGAGTGCTCTCTATATCCCCCATGTACCATACTCACTTTTAAAACCTTGGGTAAAAACTTTCTTTAACAAACAATTGTTTTCAAGCAAAAACTGAGTTTACAATCTATTGTTTAAAATATGGAATCTATATGTTTTGAAAACTATCTTTAGAATCAAGTGTTAACAAGCATCACTGGAGGGGCTCGAGCACAGAGCATGATGTGAATACATGAAGTAATATTTACTCCATGCTCGAGCAGGGGATGGAGCCCCCGAGAATCGTGCAAGCTATGGGTAAAAAATTCTAGCTTTAGCTAGAATTTCGGTTTGCCCTTATATTCGATGAATATCTGAAGAATATCTGAGAATAATGAGTTTTAATATATGCCTTTAAAACTATCTTTAAAATCAAGGTTAATAAAGCACGGTCTCGGAGGCCCAGGAAGCGAAAATTCTAGCGTAGCTTAAAATTGAGCAGGGGATGGCCTGAGAATCCTAGGCGATTTGGTGGGGAAATTTTCACGAAGTGAAATTGAGTCGCCCCTGGGTCGATGAATTCGAAGAATCTGAGAATAACAGAGGCTTAAAAATGCTCTTTACAAAACCATGGAAACAATATAGCTGGTTTTTAGCGGCGCGCGTGTCTTAGTGCATGTTTTAACAATGGTTGTTTAACGTAGATAGCACATTTCATCAGCGCATGTATAATACAATGTTTTACAAAATATGGAATCTATATGTTTTGAAATCAAGCGTTAACAAAGCATCAGTTTATGGCCCTGCTAGGAGGCTGTTGATTTAGCTGGCTAAATCGCGACAGTGGGTAAAATATAGAGTTTAAGCGGCCCTGCCAGGAGGGCCTGTCAAGCGCGTTCTTAGTGCATGTTTTAACAATGGTTGTTTAATGTAGCTAGCACATGTCACCAGCGCAATGTGTATAATAATACAATGTTTTATAAATATCAGTAGCAGCGCGCTTTATAGTCTACGTGGTATATTTGGTAAACTAGTGGCCTTTAACAATGGTCTTAAAACTCAGCGTGGTAGAAATATTCTTTAATAATCATGTTAATAAAGCATCTTTTAAATTGTTGTATCGGGCGAGAAATTTCAGGTAACTAAGCCTGAAATTTTGAGCGCAACAATGTCATAGATGCTTTTACAAAATATGGAATCTATATGTTTTTTAATTTGTCTGTCAAGCGTGTGTCACATGTACATGTTTAACAATGTTTTATATAATTTTTGTTAAAAGTGTTTTTACTAATTGTTTCAGGATTTTGAATTTTTTGTATATCGCTTTTGTATTAATTACTTATTACAAACAGTTATGTGATATGTAGTCAAACCTAAGGATTATAATTATTCTTAAGTTTTAGCTTGGTAGTTATCTTTAATAAATTTTTTAATTTTCGATTTCATCATTTACAAATTTTTAGTTGATAGAATATTATCTTCTATAGTAGCCCTAAAATTTTGTGAAAACCATTAAATGTCATAGATAATGTAGATTGATGTTGTGAATAAACTTGTATTGTGGTTAATCCATTAAATGCTGTCAGCCATTTTCTTTTCCATTCGTTATAACCTAGTGAAGCTGAAGATTTTTTGGTTCAATAATAATATAAATATAGTTTAAATCATCATCAACACAGTATACGTAATATAAATCTAGTAATGCATTAACTATCTTTTTTCATTATCATTTGTTAGT